GTAGGACACATGGGTCCTGTTGAACAATGGTACCAAAATGGCCATACCGGGCTACGAAAGCTTCGTTGACAAGTTCGGCGCGCCGACAGTCGACATATCTGATGCCTCCAAGGGAGGAGACGCGGCCCACGGATACCAATTGGGTGGTGTCACTCATTTTCTTGATTTCAAGCACAGGTCAGAGGCCCTTGGAAGAGGGCCACATGGCGCTAAATGTGCGAAACTGTACGCCAAAGCATATCACGCAACAACGGCATCTGATTTGGACCATGCGATAGACGCCATCAATGATGATGCGCAAGCAAAGCAGCGGATTTTTGGACAGGGATGGTCTGCAGAAAACCAATTCCCTTTAAGGGCAGAGCTAGGTCGTTTGAAGACATCGTCATGTGTGGAAAGTGCAAACCATAGGGATATGCCGTTTCGTTCATGCCATTTTGCATTCAGCCTATTGCAGGCGGCACGATCAATCCAGGAGCACCACGAGCGCAGGAGCAAAGAAGCGCATGGATGGGAACAGCCATTCCCACCGAAAGTAGCAAGGCTAATCAGGGAGGAGGAAATGGCAGCAGCACACATACAAGAGAGGCATGTGACATTCACGTATGCGAATGGTAAAGTGGTGGGTGCGACAGTGAAAGACGCAACTTTCGGTGATGCCCATGTGGTCTTCGATCGTTTGAAACACAGGAATCCAGGCATGGCCTGCGACTGCTCGTTTGGAACAGAAAAAGGAATCCCATGTAGGCATGCTTATGTCGCGACCAAAAAAAATGGGCAATATCTCTATAATTTGACAAATAGAAAGTACACAACGCAGGCATGGAAAGACGTGTACTGTACGGAAGAGGCAGACGGAACCCTTGTCGTCGAATCTCTACGTATTCCGAACATGCATGATGTGAAACGCCATATAGACTTGAAAGATGTACAGGTAATCTTCGATTAGCCAGGAAAGTAGCGCCCAGAGGAGAGAGAGAGAATGAGCTGTTATTTATTATTGCAGCTCAGTCGATACTCGCTCCTTATGCTCTTATCTGGCCGGCGCTGCTGAAGCAGCCCGCCGGCGAAATTCTTTCTGAAAAGGGGGGCATAGGGTAGATCCGGGAGGCGGCGGCCATGGTCAGGACCAATCCGATCCCGGAGGGGTTGAGAGATCGCCCGTTCAGCGAGCAGGCGGAGGCCTTGCCAGCGCGGGAGGCGCTGCGGGCGGTGCTCTCGGCGGCCCCGGGCTTCAGGGATGAGACCCCCGACCCCGTGACCTTTGCGACGGGGCTGTTGCCCCTAGCTAACGCGATATTTAGAGGGGACATGCCCCTGGAGGTGAATCAGTTTTCGCAGGGGGAGCAGATGGAGTTCGTCGGCCAGGCGGTGCACCAGTTGGTGCGGGAAAACTATCTGCAGCGAACAGTTTTCCAGGATTTTGGGCAGACATTGCTTGAGGTTACAAAAGCTGTTGAGAGCCGGGCTGCGGCGGTGAAGATGGAGCTTTCGATATGTGACGAGGAGCGGGCACCTGACCCAGTCGTGGGTCAGTTTCGGGTGAACGACAAGGAGTTGAATGCTCCTGTTACTGTGGCAATGTTGGATGCGCGCGATGCGACCAACAAGCGAGACTCGA